CGCCATGCTTTGTTCCGAGTCAACGGGGTGGTCCTACCGTTCAGGCGTGGTTGTTCACGTTGAACGTCTTCTTCGACGCCAACTATGGATCCATGGATACGACGAAGATTCGCTACGCCGTGTCGCTGCTACGAGGACCCGCCATGGACTGGTGGCGTGTCATCGTCATGAAGCCGGTGGACTACGCGACTCTACCGACACGGGAAGGACAAACCGGACCCTGGGTGCCGTCGTATTTCGTGGAGGTGCCTCAATATCGAGGTAGGACGCGTGGTGCGCAGGTCTGCGCGCTCGGTTTGAGCCAATTGCGGCTTCGATCGCAGCGCGACAGAAGCTCCGCACTTGGCGCCAACTCGGTTCCGTCCAGGACTACACGAGCGGGTTTCTGGCGCTATGCGAGCAAGTAGGCTACATGCACGAGAGCGAATGCATCGACCGCTACATCGGCGGCCTGAAGCACGACATCGCTCAGGAAATCCAGCTTCGCGGCATCACCGATATCCAGGAGATTCTCGCCATGGCGGACAAGCTCGATTTCTTCCGCCGACCGAGACCGGGGTCCTACAGAGGCAACAACTGGGGACATCGGTCTCGTGGGACGAACGAGGGTGCTACGATACGTGTCGTCGCCGCGAATGCCGCTGTCGCACCATTCAAAGGGCGCTGCTTTGCATGCAATCGGTCGGGACACCACAAGAGCGAATGCCCGGAAAACGCTAAGGGAAAGGGGGAAGCTGAGCAGCAGAAATAGACCAAGCAGCAGGGAAACGCTGGGAGTCAGTAGGAGACGGGCCCTCTACTGACAGGTCACGCCGCTCGCCCGACCCAACCGACCCTCACCGAGTGATTGTGCCGGTTCACGCAATCAACCACACCCGGCCGAATAAGGAGGGTACTACGGTAGACAGCCCCATACTGCTTAGTGAGAAAATCGGGACAGCCTTAGTTAAAATCTTCGTAGACAGGGGAGCCAGCCACAGCCTCATCAACACTGCCACTGGACAGATGCTTACCTAAGATCGACGCACGCCTGGTTGACGGCACGCCACTGGCGATACGGGAACGTGAAGACCGGGTTCGGGTTCGATGCGGGGGTAACTTCACGTTTAGCCAGGAAATGCTCGCGACAACCCTCGACGGAACCAACATTTTACTCGGTCGTGATTGGCTGCGACGACACAACCCGCGAATCGGCTGGACGATGCACCGTGCAAGTGAACGGTAATAACATCGCCTTACCTCGCTGGGGCTCGCCTGAGTCTTCGTCGGTGCGTGTCAACGCGATCACAATGAAACGTGCCGTAGCGGCAGGAGCTGACGTGTACGCGGTTGACATTCGGGAAGCCGAGGCAGCAGACAAAGGGGGGGATTTACGGAAACTGCTAGCCGACGTACCGGATGACCTGGCAGCACTCCTGAAGCAGTACAGTGAAATATTTCCGGACGATCTGCCAACAGGACTGCCACCTCAGCGACCACACGACCACAGGATAGAACTAGAACCGGGGGCACAACCGACAGTACAGCGACAGTTTCGACTGACCCAACCCGAACTGGACGAACTGAGAAAGCAGCTGGATTACCTACTCGAGAAATACTTCATTCGCCCGAGTCCATCATCCTTCGCAGCACCGATACTGTTCACGCCGAAGAAGGACAGGGGTTTTCGCATGTGCATAGACCACAAAGCACTGAACAGGGTTACCATTAAATCCCGCTGCCCCATCCCGCGAACCGACGAACTGATCGACCAACTACGCACAGCCCGGGTTTTTTTTAGAATTGACCTTAGAGGGGGTTACCACCAAATTCGCGTCAACCCACCCGACTACCCCAAGACAGCTTTCCGAACACGCTACGGGTCCTTCGAATATACACTCATGCCCTTCGGACTGACCAACGCCCCGCCACTTTTCAAATGACGATGAATGAAGCCTTCTACCCACTTTTAGATAAGTGCGTCATCGTCTACCTCGACGATATACTGATTTACAGCCCCGACAGAACACAACACTTACAGGACATCAAAGCCGTTTTTTAAATACTGAGTGAGAACCGCCTACTGACCAAAGCTTCTAAGTGTGAGTTTTTACAGGACTGACTGGAGTTTTTGGGACACATCATTTCAGCTGAAGGAGTGGAAATAGACCCGAAGAAGATCGCGGCGATTCAAGCATGGCACGTGCCGACAAACTTGACTGAGTTGCAGAGTTTTCTGGGGTTTGTTAAGTACGTGCGACGGTTCGTCCCCGACATGACGAAGTTGACTGCCCCGTTGACCGACCTGCTGAGGAAGGGGGTTGAGTATACGTGGGGGGAGAAAGAGCAAGCTGTCTTCTCGGCCCTCAAAGAAATTTTGTGCTCGCCACCCGTGCTCCACGTCGCAGATCCGCACCGTCCGTTCGAGCTCGTCACCGACGCTAGCGACATCGTTGTGGGAGCAGTAATGTTGCAGGACATCAGGAACGGCCTCTAGCCAATCGCGTACGAGTCCCGCAAGCTTCACCCGCCCGAACGCAACTACCCGATACACGACCGCGAGATGCTGGCGATCGTGCACGCGTTCAAGGTGTGGCGATGTTACCTCACGGGAGCAGACATGTCAGTACGGACAGTCCACCAATCACTACAGTACCTTCGCGCCCAACCGAATCTCAACCCACGACAGATCCACTGGTTGGACTATCTGGAGTCCAACTTCCATTACACGGTCACGTACAAAAAAGGTGCATCCAACATCGCCAACGCTCTCACACGCCCCACTGCCCAACTCCATGCCATCCTACTCGCCCAAACTAACCCACTGTTAACAGGCCTATTCACCCACGGATACAGTACCGACCCATTTTCCACTACCGGAAATTCACAGCAACTGGCAGAGGCCAGAGGAGTCTATTACGTAAAAACAGGCACCAACCGCATCTGGGTACCTGCGTACTCACTACTGAGGGAACTATTACTGCAGGAGGCACACGACGGGATTACCTCGGGACATTTTGGGGTAGAAAAAATGCGACAGCAACTGCAGTGGTATTATTACTGGCCGGAGCTGTTGACCGACGTACAGCACCACATGGGTTCGTGTCTTACGTGTCAGATGATAAAGAGCTCGCGAAAAAGAAAGGCGGGTCAGTTGCAGCCGATTCCACCGCCTGAGCGCGCCTGGCAGCAGGTTACCATAGATTTCGTCACAGGGTTACCTTCGAACCCTGGGGGTAACGACGCAGTTATGGTCGTCGTTGACAGATTGACGAAGATGGCACACTTCGCTGCGTGCAAGAAATCGATCACAGCCGAAGAAACCGCTCGCCTGTTCATCGCAGCCGTCGTTCAATTGCACGGGATACCAGCCGCGATAATCAGCGACCGCGACACGAAGTTTACCAGCAACTTCTGGAAAAACCTCTGGGAGCAGTTCGGGACAAGGCTACATTTCAGCTCGTCGTACCACTCCGAGACCGACAGTTAAACGGAGCGGACGAATCAGACGGTGGAGCAGTTGATTCATGCCACGTGCGACGACCCGACCACTTGGGAGCAGCAGTTGTCGCTGATCGAGTTCGCGTCAGCGACGACGCAGCAGTCCCCCTTCTACCTGAACTACGGGCAAAACCCTACAGTGCCCATGACGCCGAGCCCGGACAACCCAACACCACGTGCACAGCAATTCGCCGAAATTCTGCAAGCTGCCTGCACCAGAGCCGCAGAAGCAATTAAAAAAGCCAATGTCATTGCTAAGCGCAACGCCGACCGCCACTGCCGCCCAGTCACGTACCAGTCAGGCGATTACATACTGCTCGACATACAGAACTTAAGACTGCCCGTCGTACCAAAATTACGACCCCTACGGCTCGCAGTAAGTCGACCAGCACCTAGAATTCGAAAAATTGCGCGGAACTGGTTTCACCTGGGTACAACACGAGGCTATATATAGGCTCGACACAAGGCCCCGTAACCAGGTGTTACGCGAAGGTTCCGCGGGTCGCGAAGCGTCCCGAACAGATCCTTCCCGAATTCGGTAGGAGGCAATTCGGTGGCAACCGAAAAGCCAGAATTCGGTGCACGCAACCTAGCTCGGTGCTATAACTATAATAAAATATAGGAAAGCACCTAGCCTAGGAAATCAAGCAATTCATGCATGCATATAATTATCCTATGCTAGAAATAGCATAATAAAGTAAAGGCAAGCAAGCATAGCTGGCATAAGCCGTCGTACTCTCACAACCCCGCTACTATGGACCATTCCAAATCAGCCACATGATTACCCCAGTGACAGCCCACTTACTGTTGCCGACAGGCTGGCACCAGGGCTGATTTTATCAGGGTAATTACCCTGATTTCAGGGTGATTACAGGCTTCTGACTTGGTGGTCCCTGCAAACTCAGGTTTTGTATTTTGTGAACTCTGATCCAATCAGAGAAGCTACTTAACGGACTCCGAATTCTTGTAACTAGGCTCAGAGTAGTGTAGTTGCGGACTCTGTCTATGCAGGGTATGCGTTCCGTGGACCCTGAATGCGAGGGTATCGGGACGAAGTTTCCTAGAAGCTTCGTTTCGATAACCCCCTTGTGCGTAATCATTTCTTCGAGTGGCCCCATGTGAGGTACCCCCTTCACGCGCCCGTGAGTGACGTAACACTGACGTGCTGTACATCACAGCTGGCAACAGCGCCAACGCAGCCAAATCAATGATACGGTGCTGCCACGCGCACCGCAGAGTGCACAGCATGTGTCTGCCATTGGCCAGAATGGCCTGTTGACAGCATGCGGTGGCAGCCAAGGAGTCCGTGAATGAATTCGGCCTTGAATGCAACGACAAATTCATCGTCGAATGTTGCCATCAAGTCCGTGGAATCGCGGCGCGGTGGTTTCGTGCTCCCGCCATCTCCAACCTTCCCTTCCCTCCCCCTACCAACATCCAACGTTCCTTTGTTCACTGGTGTTTTCTTTCCATTCCGTGCATTCATTGTCTCATTTTCCTCTCGTTCAGTTTAGCCACCAATGGAGGCCATGCCGGCCGACGAAGCTGCTCCGGACACTGGCCCCGACGAGCCGCCTGTAACAGCGAAACCAACAGCGCCGTCCCAGCCGGAGAAAGCTTCGGATGCTCCCCGCTCTGGGCTAGATTTTCTTAGAGCTACGGCTGCTCCCGTCACACCTGAACCGCCTAGGTCTACCGTTCACGACTCTGCCCCTGTAGTAACCCCTACTCCTACTGCTTCTCCTATTCCCGTCCCGTTCACTCTCCCCCCGGCTGTTGCTGGCTGCAGCAAAGATCCTCCACCGCCCTCGCCCAGTCCTACTCCAAGCACGGTGCGGGTGTCCCTTGGCCCGCCGTCGGCTACTTCCGCTCCCAAGCGTGCGCGATCTGGTAAGTGGGCGCAGAGTACTCTGCTGGTGGGAGGCCGCCATATTCCACCGCCGGAAAAGCCCGATGAGCCTGCACAGAAAGAAGCTGAGCTGCCGGAAGAAGGTGACATCCCGGTGCGCGCGGATACCGGCTCGCCGGCACTCACCAAGACGCAGCTGCGAGAGCAGATGTACCTGGAGGCGAGTATTAATTACGAGACGAAGTGGGCGGGATACTTTTCTTGGCTTGTGTTTGGGAAAACCAAGGACGGTTTCCCGTACGTGAAGTGCAGCATCTGCATGTCGTACGGTAAGGGGAACACGAGGTACGCCATGCAGGGAGACGACGGAGGCCGTGACTTGCAGACGCAGTCGTTCCGGGCGCACGAGCATACGGACGCACACATGGCGGCGGTGGACCGCCAGATGAAGATTGCGGCGGGAATCCGCGAGGGGCAGCAGGTGATTTCGGACTTCATCAACTCCGACGTCGAGGGCCGCCGCGCGATACGGCTGATGCGGTCGACTCAGTTCCTGTGCCAGTGCGACGCGCCGATTAGCATGTTTCCTAAGCTGATGCGGCATCTTGCGGAGCAGGACACGCCAGACATTCCCCGGCAGTCGTACGGCGTTTATCTCACGCGGTAAGTGACGGTTCAAATTGATTGCAAATTTAAACATGCACGTCAAACAACTTGCTTGACTATCGTGTACTGATAATTTCTCTGTCCTTTGTTGCAGCTACGGCTTCCAGCAGATGGTCCACAGCATGAGCACTTACCTCACCCGGGTGCAGATGGACCACGTCCTGGCATCACCGTTCCTGGGCATCCAGTGCGACGAGAGCACTGACCGCACGCGAGGGAAACACATGATTGTGTACCTTACATTTCTGAAGAACCGCCAAGTTGCATGCGAGTTTTTCACTTTGCTGACGGTCGAGCGGTGTGATGCAGGGTCCTTGTTTGAGGTGCTTCTGAACCATCTTCGCTCCGCTGCCGTCGATGTGTCCAAGATCGTCGGCATCAGTACGGACGGGGCGTCGGTCATGACCGGGAGAGAGAACGGATTGGTGGCGCGTCTTCGTGAACACGTCCCTCATCTGTTCTCATGCCACTGCATCGCCCATCGGTATGTGAGTTGGTCTGTATTGTAGCATGTTATCTATGCTGATTGGTTTACTAACAAACCATAATACTTGTTCCCTGCTTTTCACAGTGAGGCGTTGGCTGTGAAGGACGCCGCTGATTCAAACCCGGATCTCGGCATGGTCGACAAGGTGGTGCGCACTGTGGCGACTCTGCTCGGAAACTCCAGCGTGTGGAGTCAGCGGTTCAAGTACCTGCAGCGTGTGATTTAGAAGACCAACCTGGAAGTCCAAGGCATCCACACGGTGCGGTGGCTGTCTCGAGGAGATGCGGTGGCCAGGCTGTGCAAGGTCCTCGGCGCTTGCATCGTGCTGCTCTAGGAGCACAATCACAAGGCGTACGAGATTGTCACCTGCTACAAGTTTCAGTTCTGCTTGTTTTTCTTGGCCGACATCTTGGCGGACATGAACGACCTCAACCGCTGCTTCCAGAGACGAGAGTTTTGGTCGCATGTTTGTATGATGTTGCTACGTGAGGTTCGTAACTGCACTGTTGCTCATCCTTCTCCCTCTTGTCTACCCCTGCTCTGACACAGCTGGACGTGACTGAGATTGCGAAGACGATCGAGTCCACAACGAGTGACCTGACGGAGCGCTACTTGACGCCAGAGAAAGCTTTCGGGGGCGAAGGGAAGAGCTGGCTGGTGAACTTCCTCAAAGTCCACAAGGAGGGTGGAGGCAAGCAGGTCCGGGTGCGCGGCGTGGACGGTGCTGGACGCCCGATCAACCACCTGTACACCATGCATGAGCGGAAGCTGAAGGGGCACAAACACGGAAGCACCTACGCAGACTGCGTGAAGATGTGCCGCAAATTCGCCCGTGACTGCGTGGACAACCTCAACAACCGACTGGATGACCTTGGGAAGCTGGGGCCGACGAAGCTGTTCCGGGCGGGGAAGTGGCCGAAGATCAAGGCCCAGCGAGAGAAGAAGTGTAAGGAGTGGCTGAACGGATGCAGCAGGCTGTTCCGCAACAAGCTGCCGGGATTCGACCTCAAAGCATCAGAGAGGGAGCTTCCAACCTTCTGCGCGATCATGGAGGCACACCATGAGATGGAGAGCTTCACCCAGGGCCTGTCCAACTTCCTTGGGAGCGCAGACTCCAAGAGGTAGCCTATACTTTGCTAACATGGGTTTTACAATCTTGTTGCGCATCGCTAACTGTTTTCGTTGTGTTGTGTGTACGAATGTGCCTGGCAGGAGATGGCCCAACCTCATCCTGCTGTGGCAGGCGCTGGCTGTGCTCCCCCTCTCCACCGTGGAGTGCGAGAAGGGGTTCTCCAAGCAGAACGTCATCAAGTCCTAGGTGCGAGGAGCGCTGTGCAACGCGCGTCTGGGGGAGCTGATGCAGATATCGCTCCTCAAGTATGAGATCGACTGGCCGGAGGCACTGGAGGTGTGGAGGTCCCTGCGGAGGAGGCGCCCTGCGAAGAGCTTGAAGCTGGCTGTGGCAGAGAGGGAGAGGAGGGGGAAGCAGAAGGAGGGTGAAGATGTGGCTGCTGGAAATGCCGGGGAGAATGAGGATGAGGAGGAGGAGGAGGAGGAGGAGGACGATGAAGTGGAACAGGCCTTCGGCGACGATCAGGAGATCGTGGGGGAGGAGGAAGCGGAGGACAATCCATTCCTGTCGGACGATGAGGATGTGGAGGAGGTGTACTTCATAGACAAGCCCGTGCACTAGACTAGATAGAGTAGGAAAGTGCATGCAGTTGTATCATTTTGGAAAATAGTGCACTGTTAATAGCAACCCTGTTTTTGAGCTGTGAACCCTGTCCGGTCAGAGTTGGACTTCGTGTGACACTGAGCTATCAGGGTAGCTACCTTGCGAAAAATGTGCCCTCATAATAGAGGGTCAAATTTTTTACTGGAATCAGGGAGTCCTAAAACGAAACGTCAGCCCTGGCTGGCACATCAGCCCATCATTCCACGTCAGCATTCTTCGCCCTACATCCCAACCACAAGGCAACTGCCTCGTCACCGCCCGCCATCCATGACTCGCCCTGCATCAGAGCCAATCATCGAGCCCGAAAAAATCTTGAGCCATCGGATTCGACACCCTATGGGAATAAGGAAGATTGAATTCCTCGTTCGCTGGAAGGACCCCACGCCAACCGAGAATAGCTGGGTGCCCCTAGCCAACATTGACAACCACCCTGCCCTGCAAGTGTACCTGAGGAGTCGGGGATTCCGCGATGTACACGCACTCGCGTAGCGGAGGGGGCTTCTTGAGGGGGGGGGGGGGGCAGTGTAAGGAATTTTCTCGACATTCCTTAGCGCGCCCTGCAACATCGCGTACAGCAGCAGCCGTTGTTCGCCCGTTACTGCTAACGGGGCTTCGCCGACTTCGCGCGCACTGTTTCACCAAACTCGCACTACTGGCCCGGCCGTGTCGGCCTACACTTCGGGACTAGCCCGAGCCTCGCTGCCAGCGTATCACTAGCTAGCTCCCATGCACCGCGTTACCGTTTGCATGTTTCGCGTATAAATGTTCGATCATGCCTTTGCTCACATTTTGTACTCGTTTGACACGTGCAATCCTCGCTACCTCGATTCATTGCACCCGTAACAATTCACAAATTCTTTTTACTGTTTGTATTATTTGTGTCCTAAATTGCAGCCCTAGTTTTTGGGAGGGGATGCCGCCGCATTGTACGGTCTCGGGGTGGTATGCACGTGTCGTCTTCACACAGAGTCAATTGTGGCCGGTGACATCAGTCAACGACAGCCTGTGTTTAGCTTCCCCTGGAGTACGCGCAGGAGAAACCCTGAAGAAACCTTGGGCAGGAAAGTAAAGATTTGGAGGACCCGCTGGCTTCCGCGCAAAGTCGGCCCTTTTAGGGTGAATTCGTGCCCCTTGTCAGACTTCAGGTCAAAAGCCCCTTAGTCTCTAATTTGGCTCATCCGAACCCGGATTTGCCTCACAAACGAGCCACTTCGGGTCTTCCGAGCCTACGAATGCACCCTTACTTTCCTGAACTGAAGCTCCAACCCTTCCCTGGGTTTCGCTCATATATTTCCGGCCAAAAACCTGTGGTTCACCCTTGGTAACCCGAAATAGGTACGCAACAAACCTAGAGTAGGAACAAGGGTGACGGACTGAGATCGGGGCTGGTGTTGAACATTTCGAAGCTGGATGTGTCTGTCTGTGGCCGGGCAGGCAACCGCCAGGTTCGAATGGTGGGTGTCGGTGGGGGCGCCACCACAAGGGGGCGCGACGAATCGCGAATCGGGAATCGCGATGCGTAAAATGGGTGGGAGGAGCTGTGCACTTCCTCCTGCTTGCGAAATAAAATACTTTTTCCACGCCCTGCCCCCGCATACACAACGCCCCCATCACACCACATCACATTCTCAGCATTCCTAGGTGATGGAGGTATGAGGTCGAAGGGGGGGAACTCGACAGCTGTGGTAGTTGGGAGAGTGGAGCTGACAAATTTGGGCTCGCGTAAGCGTTATGTCGTTTCCTAGTTTCAATGCGGTCGCAGCACCCCCATTGCCGCCATGTCTCACCGTTGACGTGATGTCCAGCTCTACTACAAAGAGAGTGTTCAACAAAAACAGATTCAGTCCCGTTACAGTTAAGCCAGAAGGGATATCAAGGACATTATTTTGTCCCAAATGTAACACGTAGCATTGGAACTCGACGGAACACGTCCACGAAATCCTCCTCAACTTCAACCACTTCCAGAAAACAGCTATAAAAATGCATGTGAGAACCAGCTTCACCATCAGTTCAGTCCGACGCAGGCCTCTTATTCCTTAATACTAGCCAACAAAACGTCCCTCCATTCATTGTTAGCTCTCCTCTAAAGCACCATGATGACACAGCGCCCACTTTTCGTCATCGTCCTCCTCGCTCTTCTCGCTGCGTCGGCTGCGGGAGACGGACTGAACAAGGCCGAGGTGAACAGCGAGGTCAAGAAACTCAAGGTCGCCCTGTCTAATGTCGGGTACCTTGGGAGATACGCCGCTATCGCCGCCGCACTTAAGAAAGCCATTCCCTCATTGGGTAAGCGCCGGTTTGCGTTTAATTCGGCTTCGGAACACTGTTGCAAAAGTAAATGGAAATTTGGGTTTTTTTTCGTTCCTAAAGATTTGCGGTTATTCGTTTCCCACTTTTAAATTATGTTTCCCGAATTTAGAAACCATGGATGAGACCGATCCAAGGTGGGGCCTTCTTTTCCAAACGACCATTCTCGTCCCGTCCAACTTGGCACTCGGCATGGGGGGCCTTGGTGCGGAGAGTCACTCTACAACGGTAGTGAGCTAGACTACGGGGGTTGGCACGAACTACTAGAGGTGATCGTAGCTTTGCTTGGTTCCTTAGTGCTTGCACATTCACGGGAGAAAACGGCAAGAGTTTTCACTAGCAAAGTTGGAATACCAGAATGATTCAACAAGCAATGACAACAATGACTACATCAGGCACCTAGCAACCCTGCTGCTAGCCTGGTCGACCGCCAGCACAGCTCAGTCGATCGCCTGCCAGCGTTGCGTAGAGGAGCCGCGCCAGCACTGCAGAAAGGCGACCTGCCAACGGAGCAGGTCGACGGCGTGCCAACGCTGCAGCAGAGCGGCTGTCCAGCGTTGCCCCGTAGAACACAGCAGTGTGCACGCTCGCAGGTGTGCGCAGACGATTGGCCCGACTTGCCTCGTTGGGCATTCGTCGGCTGTTGTCTGCGCCTGACGAGCCATATCGACTCCGGGATACCAGCCCGCAGTCGCCTGCGCCATCGCAACCTCGACGACGTTCGCGTGCCTCCGCAGAACTCGTCGAGCAGGTTACCCGGTCGACCCGGTCGACCACCAGGTGCTTCCGGTCGACCACCACTGCTTCTGGTCGACCACCAGGTCCCTCTGGTCAACCACAACTCCCGTCGAGCTACCCCCTGGTCGACGGACCCCTTCCGTCGACCAGAACCATCAGCGGTTGTCGCCGAGCTCCCCTCGTCGACCGCTGCTCACTTGTCAGGTCGACGGACTGCTCCGTCGACCTCCCGGTCGAACGGCAGGTCGACGGGATGCTCCGGAGACCTCCCGGTCGAGCTGTAGGTCCTGGTCGACGTCCCACCCGTCGCCCAGACCAGTCAGTTGCAGCTGTCGAGCTCCCTAGTCGACAGCAACACCACAGCGGTCCCCTGCAGCTCGACGAAGCCTGTCGAGCAGCTCTCCCACTGTGAACGGTCGGTTGCTACTCCCGTACATCCGACCAAGTCGTCGGCGTTGCCCAAGCGAGGGCGGGGCCAACACTTCATTCCTGTTAACACTCCCCTGCCGCGCTCACGCTTGGGCCTCCAGCCCACACGGCAGTACTCCACGGAGAAAAAACTCATCCTCGGCGTGCACCCCACACACAGCACGCCGTCACCGCACCAGCCGTGCAGAAGGGCACGGCACCTACTGCTGCACCTCATCGTCGCCGTCGCCGACGTCGGATAGACGAACTTGGCCGATGGTGACAGAGCACCGGTTGAAAGCCGGAAAATGCAGCGCCTTCGTCAGGAAGTCCGCCGGCTGCTCGGTGGTCGGGATGTACTTCAGCACAAATTTCCCGCGCCTCACCATGTGTTGCAGCCAGGCGTAGCGTCGCTCTAAGTGCTTGAGGTTGCCCGTCAGCCCCAAGCCCTCAGCGACCGTGATTGCCGACTTGTTGTCGACGCGGAGGATGGTCGGCTTCCCAGCGTCGAGGAGCTTGAATTCCGCAAGGAGGAAGCGAAGTCGACGCCCCTCCTTGCCGGCATCCGTGGCCGCCACGTACTCCGACTCGGTCGATGACAATGTCGCGCACTTGATGCGCGAGCTCGACCAGGAGACTGCGGCCCCTCCGTAGACGAACACGTAGCCTCCCGTGCTCGTCCGGTTCTGCCTCTCGCCCGCGTCGTCGGCATCGACGTAGCCGATCAGCTCCAATGATTCTGGTCCACCGCCGAACTCCAAGGCGGTATCGCGGGTGTCGGCGAGGTAGGCGAGGCAGCGGTCGACCTCACGCCAATGCTGGTCGCTCCTCACCGTGAGGCCACTTCCCAGCTTGCTGCAGGCAAACGCGATGTCCGGCCTTGTCGTCGTCGCCGCGAACTGCAGCGAGCCGACCTTCTGCCGGTACTCCTCCTCTTCGCGCTCCTGAGCCTCCTCGTCATCGAACGTCAGCTGAGCGTAGGCGTCGACCGAGACCGGTGTCTTCGGGACTCGACCGCCCTGCTCCTCGTCGATGAAGCGCCTGTGCAGCTTGTCGGCGTAGCCCTGCAGGTGCAGCCACAACTTCCTGACCGGCCTGTCGTGCACGATCTCCAGCCCAAGGTACTTCACCACCGGCGAGATCTCACGTCGCTCGAAGGGGGTCTCTAGCAGCTTCTTCAGCTCCTTCAGCATCGCGGTGCTGCTGCTAGCGGCAAGCAGGTCGTCGACGTAGACCAGCACCCAGCAGGTCACTCCGTCGTCGCTGGCCTTGAAGTAGAGCGCCTCGTCGACCTGGCTCTTCTTCCAGCCAGCGCCCAGCAGCACACCGTCGAGAGCCCTGTACCACAGCAGCGGCGACTGCTTCAGCCCGTAGAGGCTCTTCAGCAGCTTACACACCCGGCCGGTCCCGTCGTTGAAATAGTCCGGCTGGTACATGTAGAGCACCCTGTCGAGCTTGCTCTGCAGGAAAGCGTTCTTCATGTCGAGCTGCATCAGGTTGAGATC